TATAAAAAATTATAAAAAAATTCTAAATTTAGAAAACTTCTATATAAGCACACTTCTTTATAATCATTATTTTTGGTAGTCCCAAGGCCTGTGACTATAAGGGAAAACAACTGTATTTAATATTCATATTATCATCAATAATATAGATGGATCACTATTATGTTAATGAGAACTTGCTGCTGCTATTCTTGAAAATTAACTATGCTTAAAAAAATTGGATTAATTATCACAGTTTGATGATTAATTTGCTATTGTTTCTGACATATTTGTTAGAATTGATTTTTAAATTTTTCAATAAGTTAAAACTCCTCTAAATGATAAAATGTTTATATTATAATAGTCATTTTTGATATAACTAAATAATTAATAAGTATTATTATCAGCTAAACTAGCTAAACTGCAAGAATTAGTAATCCTGCCAAGAATTCTACAACTAAGTTATAGGAAAAAAATTTATTATAAAAGAAGGTTTTTGTCTTTAATTTTAGAATAAAATTAAATAGTTTTATTTTTTCTATAAGACTATTACAGAGTGATAACTAAGATAATAATAGTTGTTTTATTTTATTATTTCCCATATATATATTTAATAAAACTATTTCCTTTTATTTATTTTAATAAAGACTTTATTTATTTTTATTACAAATTGATTTACATATATATTTCTCTAAATTTATTATTATTCATATAATAAACCTAATAAACTGAATCAACATATTAAATATTAAATCATCTCTTTATGAATTTAGAAGGTGATACCGCTAATATAAAAATTGCATTTTTAGATGAAAATAATAATATATAATATTAGCCTGCAATTATTTGTTATTTTTTTTAAACTTTCAATTGTATTGCCATAAGAGAATATAAAACATACATTAGCATTTATTGATTAGTATAGTAAAAATATCAAAAAAAATTATTTAATATTTCTTGATAGAGTCTATATAAAACACTTAATCAGGTTACATAAAATGGTATAAACTATGTTAAATTGTGAAACCTTTAACTGAAAAATTTTACATGAAAGTATTATACCAGTTCAACAAACTGTATATTGATTTATGAAAGTAACATATTATTCTTGAAAAAGTTGAAAAAACTTAATAGTTATTATATCATTAAATAGATAGTATTTAGTTTATTAATTTAGTGTATAGTTTATTATATTGAAGTTCTTTATTTAAAACTAAAGAGATTAAATTTATAAATCAGATGTAAAAATTGGGTTAAAAACATTTTCTTCTGAGTTAAAATTTTTTATTTTAGTATTAAGATTTCATAGATTTAATTTTTTATTGTAAAGGAATGAATTTTCAATATGGCTAAGCAAATTGTATATATTAAAATCGTAGTTACATTATGCTTCATTTAATTTTAGCATAGATTCATCATATTTGTGAATTTGCAAAAAAAAAATTTTTTTTCAATATTTCTTTAATCATTAACAAATAATTTCAGTTAAAGACCAAATTTATTAACCATGTTTCAAAATAATATTGATTCTAATGTTTTTATCGCCTCATTCATATTTTTAAAATTCAATTTATTGCTATTTAAATGCTTTGTATAGCTTAAAAAATTTTTTAATTTAATAATTTACTTGAAATTTATTTATGTTTATAATTTATTTGAAATTTATATGTAATATCATAATATTAATCAGTTATCTAAAAATCTATACAGTATATACAGTATATATTATTTTTTTTTATATACTATCAAAATCAAAGAATATTGTTTATTTATAAGAATATTTGATAAAATCTAAAATTACAGCTGTTATGCATTGTAAAAGTAATATAATAAAGTATTAAATCAAATCATACAGCCGAATTCTAATTAGGAGAGAGTATTTATTTATAACCTAGGAAAAGAATTTTGACAAATATTTTTTCAACATTCTTTCCCGTAAGATTATCTAATTTCCTTAATCTTTTGCATCAGCATATTCTAGGTAATGATCATTAAACAATCTAGTTTGTTCTGATTGAGATCTTCAAGCAAAGCAAGTGGGTATCCACTTTATCAGTTATCAACAAAAAAAATTAATTAATTAAAACGAGTAATTTATGAACAATTATTAATGTGAAGGCAAAAATATACCACCAATTAAATGAATTTAGACTTGACATCATTAACACCAATCAAATGTTCTGTGAAACTTGAATTTTAGTCACGAGAATATTTACATTATCAAAAGCAAGTTTTCCCAACTTCTGAGAAGGGCTAAGTATTTCTAAAACACGGTTATATTTTGATTCATAATGATTATCTTTCTAGTTGCTAACGTACTGTAATAAACACCCTATAAAAAATTTTCGCCCGAATATTTCCATTATTTTTCCGTGACTTACGTGAAAATGAGCCTTTCATGGATTCTGTATAAATGATATGAAAATTTCCGTGATTTAGATTATAAACTCCGTGAAAATGCCCTTCACGGAAAAAACATGGAAAACAAAACACGGATCAACTTTTTTATAGGGACAAAGTTATCAGTTGTCTGCTTAATTTTTTTTCCAACCGTTTTGAGATAATTTTAAAATAAAATAGTGTTGCAATTAATATTAGCATATTTTTCTTTAATATTATGAAGGAAGGATAACAAGGAAACCAAAGGGGTGAATTGGGGAAAAAGCAATACGGTATAATCATTGTCATATCAGAAATTTACAATTATCATTTTATTAAGTGTTAATATTATCATTATTTCTATTTTTATTATTTTATTATTGTTTTTATTAAAATTCGACTAGCGATTATTTAGTTAGAGCAATGAAAATCATTTCAATAAGGTCCACTGGACTGGCTATAATTGTTCTCTGGCCAAATCAGTCTCCTGAACAAATATGTATGTATGTCCTGTTGTTTTTCATGTATATAAACGGCGGGACTTTTCCTTTATAAAAATAAGATTCAGATCCATTCGTGTGCAACAAATAATCTTCGCATTCATTAATGTTCATATTTAGTGTTTAATAAATCCCCGAAACATCCGATAATCCTAAATAACGAACTTCGCGTTATTCTCTTTTTCTCTTATCTAAATTAGAAACTCCGTTATTATAGATAAATTACATTAAACACGAAAATAATAAAACCTTCTGCTTACCTTAAACTCCGTTTATAACCCATAAACACTAAAGAACTGCTAATAACAATAGCAAAAAAAAAATGATTTTCATACGCTTAAAATGCACCAATAATATTAAAACATAAAAAAATAAATAAAACATTCATCTTTGACAACCTATGAAAATCTATTAAAGTCCTTTAAATTCTGACTCTCACGGTCAGATGGAATAGCAAGTTCACTTAAAATAATCAATTCAAACCTCCAGTTAAATCCAGTCTTCATCCTTGAAATAATTAAAAATTGAGTGAATAATTAGAATCATTTTTTAAAGATTAAAATTCAAAAAAAAAAAAAAACGTTTGGGTTAATCTCTGACACATGCACAACGATCGGATACCTTAAGCGATTTCATTCCAATCACACATATCGAAATTTTTTTAAACGTAACAATATGTTATGCAAACAGATACAAATGCACTATGACATTACGATTTTATACAAACATGATTCATCATTACAAATAATCCAAACTTTGGAATTCTATTTATGTTACGATTTTGGCGTAACAATTTAATCTAGATCAGGAAAATCGTATGGGAATTTTTTATCAAAAATTCATACTAAAAAAAGGTAGTTGATTAAATGAAGTGCAGTTCTAACATTTTAATGGAAATTTGATACTATTTATATCAATGTTAAAAATATAAAAAAAGAAAAAATAAATTTTACTTCTGATACATTAAAAAATCTGATGATAAAAATGGTTCAATTATATTTAAATATGAATACAATTGATTGGATAATGGTCTCATCTTTGGTCATAGGAGCTTACGTTTTACGATATTATTATAATTATTTTACACGTAAAAATCCCCTTCCTGGACCAATTCCGTTCCCCATTGTTGGAAATTTGTTACAACTCGGTATAGATATTTCCAAGATGATGGCTAGGTATTTAGATTCAAAGTATGGAAATATATCTGAAGCATACTTTGGTTCGCATCGATCCATTTTTGTATCCGGATTAGATGATGTGGAAAAAATCTATTCTCCAACGTCCATCAAGTTTAATAGTTTTATGCATAGGTTTTCAACAAATGAAGGAATTAGTGAACTAGGTTTGGAAAAAAGTGGAGTGATGTTTAATAGAGATTTAAAAGATTGGAGTATTAATCGCAGAATGCTTACTCAAACCTTGATGTCTACTGTATTTTTAAGGAACAACATTAAATTGATTGAAAAGAATTGTGATGATTTATTTCAATATTGGGATTTAATTGGTGTCACCGTACATGATAATCGAACCGTGATTGAAGTACCAAACTGGATGAGAGTGTTTTCTAATGATTTAATCCTTGAAACCATCATGAATAAGAAAAGTTATGCCAAAGCAAGTTATTTTAATCATATAACTGACAAAAAACTTGACATTCCTCAACATCTTTTAAAGCAATCTGGTGATCTCATTGAAAACCTTTATGTTGCCTTAAAGAGTGGAATGTTTATCATAAACGTACCAGGTTGCATTAGACACACAATTTTTAAATATTTTAACGATATGATTGTAGGTTTATTTTATGGGGTTGAAGATGTAATTGATAAAAGGGTTAAAGAAAGGCGTCAAGAGATTGAATCGATGCCCGTCGAAACAGAATTACCATCGGATCTTTTGACCTTGATGATTACGACGAACACATCACGTGATCAAAATAAAGTTAGGTTGGGGGAATATTCTGAACCTTTGTCTGACTCTTCAATCTGTAAAATTATAGTGGAATTGATCGTTGGAGGAAATTCAACTACAGCCTCATTGTCTTTTATCTTGGCTTATCTTTGTAATCATCCTAAAGTTAAAGATCGGTTGGTCAAAGAAATTGAACAAGTTTATGGCGTAAATTTATCACCAACAATTACGTTTGAATCACTTGATAAACTTCGTTACTGTGAGGCTGTATTACATGAAACTGCTCGTATTTGTCCGACAATTGAAGTATTCTTTAGAACATCAAGTAATCGAGTTGAACTTTGTGGTTATACTTTTGAACCAAATACATTGTTTTGGACAAATTTCTATCGTCTTAATAATCATGAAAATTATTGGGTTGAACCAGAAGTATTTAATCCTGATAGATTCTTGAATAATGATTTGAAAAAGTTAAAGGCTTATTATCAATTCGGTGGAGGAGTTAGGCATTGCCCTGGTAGATTCCTTGTTATGATACAACTTAAAACTTTCCTTGTACGTTTCTTTTCAAAGTATGATATCGAATCAACTGTTTCAAATCAATCTATTATAAAAGGTTTTGTTGGTGGTATCACTAATTGTGAGAAATTTGATGTTTATATTAAACCTAAAAAGATTTGAATTTTTGAATGTTTAATTTTTTTTAAAAAAAAAAAATTGAGAATTTGTACTTTTTTTCCATATAAATAAAAAATTTATTATTTTAAAAATGAGATTTACAGTCAGAATAAAATATAAAGAAATTCATAAAGAAGGATTAGATATGTCTTATAAACATACATATAGACTACTTTACTTTAATGAATAATAGCTAGTCCAATGATATGTTTTGGACGTTGTAATTTCGCAATAAATAGTAAAGTCATTAGAAAAAATTAAGTAAGTTGTTTTTTCGAAAATGCCTTTCCAAAATCATTCAGAAATTTCCATCAAAACCTAAAGAGAGCATCAAATGTTGTGGAGGTTTTTTTTAATCACGACGCACATCATCCTTATATAATCATTTACGCAGCATCGAACAATGTTGCACATTTTCAGTAAAATCAATACATGAATCTTCACATGTATTTATCATAAAAGGTTCAATATTAACTTTAAAGTTATATTTTAATTTATAAAGACATAATTAACACTGTAATATCTTTAAACACTATCGTTAATCTATGCCCTACCTTTATATTAAACAGATTCAACATTGATTAAAATTTTAAAAACAAAAATATAATGTAAGTTATAATTTATTATATCATAACCAATATTTAATTTTTTCTTTTTCAATATCTTCAAAATCTGAGCTCCCCGAATCCTCATTACCCTCTGCATCTTTTGAAGAAATATTTTATCAAAATGTGAAGTCAGTTTTATTATTATTCGTTACTGCTGCTGTTATTATTCATTAAAATTTAGTTACTGATGTTCTTCATCAGGGGTGCTGTCCAAAATCCCAAAACTCATAATCCTGAATCCAAAATCCTGACAGGTTCAAAATCCCGATAAGTAAGTTAAAAATTGGCCTGTATTCAGAATTGAGTTTTAATATTTTGTATCATCTGAATTTACAAAATTTTATTAACAAAATTAACTAATAAAATATAAAAGAAGAAATCAAGTAGCTTTATTAATATAATCATAAATTAAATGTGTTACTCTCTCAGTGCTCTGTAATACTGATTAAGAATTCTTCTAAAATTTCCTTCAAACTACTCTGCTATATATGTGCCATCCTTTCATTCCACTAATTTATATTTGTATATCTAATTAACTTAAATCTAATATTTTATTAAGACTAGAGGTTAGAACCGGCAAAAAAAACCTTAACCGATTTAATTTTTGATTTAGTTAATCGGTTAATTAACCGGTTAATAATAATACATTTTCAAAGTTGTCATAATTTTAATAATAATGTATGTTTATTTTTATTTAATCTTTAGAATAATTACAAACTGTAAATTTATTAAAACTAAAGTTTTAATGATATTCTATAACAGTGTTAAACTAAAAAA